GCTGTCACAGTGACAGCAGCAGGAGGACGTGCTGCCTGCCGGCACCTCTGGGCGCTGGATCTGCCTACGGAGGCCCCGGGCAGGCGGAGAGGTGGCTGCTGCTCCTCCTGGCTTCCGCCACAGTGAGTCTGGGGACCCAGCGCAGGGTTGGGGGGATGAGGGGGGGTCGATGCGGGGAGTGGAGGAGCAGGATCCAGGCGGAGGTTGGCAAGGTTCCTGACCGAACTGGAGTGATGCAGGGTGTGGGAGTGAGTGAGTGTGTGTGTGTGTGTGTGTGTGTGTGTGTGCAGTGTCTTGGGATGGGAAGTGGTCATAGCTGAAACTATAGGTCCTCTGCCTCACAGGCTCACTGTCCCAAGGTGGGGAGGAGGGGGTCCGGGGGCTGATGACACCCCAACCAGTCCTCACAATGGGCTGCTACTGTGGGTGAAGCTGGGCATGGGGGCCTCCTGAGGCCAGCTCCCCTGGGCCAGCTCCCCTGGGCCGGCCCTGGTCCTCCCCTGGCTCCCAGGGCGCTGGAGTGGCAGCTCCGTTCAGAGTCCCTCCGAGAAGGGACCTGTAGGCAGCCCCCTTCCCACGGATGCGTCTTCATCTATTCGTTTTTTAAAACCACTTTACTGAGTGAGGTCTGACTGACATGCAACAACACTGTACACATCTAATGTACATGGCTGGACTGGGGAGCCCTGGAGGGGGCTTTCATCCCCGGCTACTCGTTAAGTCAGTGTCTCTGTAGAGGCCTGAGGGCTGGGACATCCTCTTCTGCCATCTTGCTCTCCATTCTTCATCTACTCCCTGCACAAGGTCTGGAAGGCCCCCCACAGGCCCTTGCTGGGGGGCAGGGGTGGTGGGGGGGTACACAGCAGGGCTGCCCTGGGCTGGCCAGGTGACTTTGAACGACCTGCTTAGCCTCAGCCTCGAGCCTCCTTCCCTCACCTGTGAAATGGAGATAATACCCACCTCCCAGAGTTGTCAGGACTAAATGAGGAAGGAACGCAAAATGCCAAGCACATAATTAGTGTTCAACAAACAGTCGCTGCTGTAATTATCTATTATTAGCTCCACGCTGGGCCCACCTCACCGGGGCGACTCCAGCCTCCTCTCCTGCCGGCTCCTGAAGCGCCTGGCATTGTGATCCCGCGAGCTGTGCCCGACCAGAGCCGCCCTGCACCTCTTCTGCTACCCTCTCCCCTCCCCACCCCAGCACCCCATTCAGGCCCCCAAAAGGAACTCAGGATACAGTACGGGGTGAAATGAAGAGAAGGGGAGGGACCCAGGAGGGAGAGGCCAGAGAGAGACTGAGGGAGGGAGGGAGGAGGTGGGAAGGAGGGCGCCGCGTCGGGGCGAGAATGACAGCCTCTCTTGCAGCGCAGGGAGGAGGAAGGATGCCCCAGAGGCCGGCGGTGAGAAGGGGCCGTCTTTCCCATCCTGTGAATCCCTTTTACTTTTTCACAAACTCACATGGAAGAGTCTCTTTCCCGCCGCTGATCCCAAGAGGACAGTGTTCCTGACGCGGCTAATATCTGTTCAATCTATTAATTGATTCTAATAATGCTCTCTATCTCATCTATGGAAGCTTCTCTCTCTCTCTCTCTCTCTCTCTCTCTCTCTCTCTCTCTCTCTCCTTCCCTCCTCCCCCCTCTCTACCATCTCCCTCTCCATCACCTTTCCAAGTCACTTCCTCCGCTCTGCACCTATAAAGCTAGATTTGCCGTGGCCAGTTTGGTTCAGAAGTTAGGCGGGCCCTCAGGCTGAAGGGTCCCAGGTTCGATTCCAGTCAAAGGCATGTACCTTGGTTGCAGGCTCAATCTCCGGCACCAGTCAGGGCAGTTGTGGGAGGCAACCAATCTCTCTCTCTCTCTCTCTCCCTCCCTCCCTCCCATCCACTCTTTCTAAAAAAACAAACCCATAAACTAGATTTAACTAAATAACCTCAAAAGTCCTCTCTTCCCTAGCATCCTCTCATCTCTCTGCGTTAATTCTCTTGCCTATCTTGATGCCTACCTCTCAGTTACCAAACAACTTAAGCTATTGAGCACCATTCCTCCTTTTCTTTAATAAAAAATATTTTTCCAAGAAAGTTTATAAATGTCCATTGGGCTCTAAAGCTTTATGAAGGACTTTCTTGATCTCCACTTATTGTCAGTGCCTCGCTCAACACCCAGCAAGCAGCAGGCATTCAATAAATATTTGTTGAATAATTGGGTAGATGGATGGGGACTAATGTCATTGCTGGAAGGATATACCAGTGAAGATAACAGGTGATCACGGTTCCCCTAACGAGGCTGCTCTAGGTGAGTTTAGACCACACAGTTGTGATACTGGGGGCTTTTTTAAAATGTATTTTTATTGATTTCAGAGAGGAAGGGAGAGAGAGAAATATATAAACATCAATGGTGAGATAGAATCATTGATCTCCTGCATACCCCCTACTGGGGATTGAGCCCAAAACCCAGTCATGTGCCTTTGACTGGAATCGAACCCCGGACCCTTCAGTCCGCAGGCTGATACTCTATCCACTGAGCTAGGGCAACACTGGGGACTTTCAATGAGGACACGTGGGCCTCACCACATGCCCTAATGGGTGTTTCCCTTCAAGATCATCATCTTGGAAAGCTGTGCACTTAATCCAACAATTCGGCCATTGCTGAAAACATTTTATAAAATATATTTTTATTGAGTTCAGAGAGAAAAGCTAAGAGAGATGGAAACATCAATGATGTGAGAGAATCGTTGATGGGCTGCCCCCTGCACATCCCATGCTGGGGATGGAGCCCACAACCTGGGCGAGTGGCCTGGCCGGGAATGGAACCATGACTTCCTGGTTCTTAGATCAACGCTCAACCACGGAGCCACGCCGGCCCGCCCTGAGAACATTTCTGGAGCCTCTCCTCTCCTCTCAGATAATATTTAAAACCCACATCGTACCTTCGTGGTGACTCGGACCTTTGGTTTAAAGCAGTTCCCTGCCACTTAGCACTCATGTCCTTCCCCACCAGGCTGGGCTCCCAGGGGCTTGTGGCCGCCTTCACAAGACCAGACACCCTCGCAGGAGGAACCTGGGCCTCCGCAGGGGCATCAGCGGCTCCGAGGCCGCCCACCTGCCCGCCCGGAACTCGAATGGCTGAGCTGTGGCAGGCGGAGGATGAGCCCACGGCTCCCTGACGTGACCACACAGACGGCCTGCAGGCGTTTGGACGTGTAAGTTCTGTGCTTTATTTTCAAAACAGCCGCACGCAGACAGAGGAATGCCTCCCAGGGCTGCACACAGACCAGCGTATCGGGCAGCCACTGAGCGGGAGGGAGACGGAGGGGCAGCAGAGGCTTTCCTGGAAAACAGCCCCTCAGGGCACAGGCCCGCACTGGAGGGGGGGGGTGCCTGGACTGCGGCTGGGGCGGCGGCCACGCAGCCACCTGCTCCCCCTGGGACCTGGGTCTCCTGCCTTCACTTCCTGGGAGGAACCAGGAAGGTGCGGTGACCTCACCCTGTGTGTGTGTCAGGTGTGAGGTGAGGGGCCAGGGAGGCTGCACCTTCATCACACTCCGCGCCTCCCTCCAGAGTCCGAGGTGGCTGGGCCAGGACCTCTCATTATCTGTCTCCCAGCCCCCCTTCCAGGAGCGCCCCTGGTCTCTTCCCCAGGGTCTCAGCTCTCGGTCTTGGTGGGATTCAGGCAGGCCACTGAGGAGGAGCAGCAGGAGAGGAAGGGGAAGGGGGGAAAGGAACAGGGGGAGCAGGGGTGTAGAAAGGGGTGCGGGTGGGCAGTGAAGGGGGGCAATGGCACTAACGCTCACGGCTTTTCCCACCCGCAGCTGAGGCCCTGCCTCCCTGGAGCGGCCATGTCCGAAGGGGAGAGCAAGGACAGCTCGGGCAGCGAGTGCCCCGTGTGCTACGAGAAGTTCCGCGACCTGGAGGGCGCCAGCCGGACGCTGAGCTGCGGCCACGTGTTCTGCCATGACTGTCTGGTCAAGTACCTGCTCTCCACCCGCGTGGACGGGCAGGTCCAGAGGACCATCGTCTGCCCCATCTGCCGCTACGTCACCTTCCTCAGCAAGAAGAGCTCCCGCTGGCCCTCCAGGCTGGACAAGAGCACCCA